CAGGAGGAGAAGCCCAAGGCCTGCACCTTCAGCCTCAAAGGGAGCCCCCCCCCCTGAACTGGGGCTGCCCGACCAAAGGGCGGGTCTCCTTTTCCTAAGACAAGCGGCAGGATGCCGGGGCGAGACCCCCAGGACAGGGGAGGCCCCCTGGAGCTCCCTGGGTGGGAGTCCTTGAACAAAAGCCAGAGAGCAAAGAGGGGACTTCAGGTGAAGAAGGGAGGGAGGGAGGGAGGGGACACAGAGAGGTCTCCACCCCAGGGGCTGGTTGGGGGGCAGCAGATGGGGTTCCCCAGCCCCAAGCAAGCGGGAGGAAGGGACGCTTGGGTGGTTCTGCTCCTGCTGATTTAATGCACGGCTTCTCTTGCCAGGAAAAGTCCCGAACAAACCCCTTCCCCTTCCCTGGCCAGGCTCTGGCATGACACGGAGGGGGGAGGGGGGGAGAGAAAAGAAATATAATCTACCCACATCTCGTATCCTGCACTACCATGAATGGCCAGGAAAGCGAGAATCCCTGTCCTTTCCCTAAAAGCAGAGGGAGATGCTGGCAAACTCTGCTTTAAAGACACGCTCAGGCTTCCAACGCAAGCCTTTGGCCTCGACGGGGCTCCTGCCAGGGAAGGCAGGGCGCTCGGCACGTGCTCAGAGGCCATCGTTCCTTTCACGCTCGCTCACCCCCTTTAGAAGTCCCGCTCTGGGACAGCTCTGCTGGGTGCTTTAAAGCCTGGCTTCCCAGGATTTTGGATTTCCTGCCCCAGGAGTTGTGTCTGGGAGTTGTAGTCCAAAAACATCTGGGGGGGGCAGTTTGGGAGTCCTTGCTGGGAAAGAAGAGGTGTTCTTTCCACAAGGAAAACAGCTGGTGCAGACAGACCACGTTCCCCCCCCCCTTGAGGAAGAGGCCGCCTGCCAAGGGAGGGCCCCTGTAGCCCAGCCTTGCCGGCTCTGGCCGGCCCCTTTCAAGAAGGGGCTCTTTCCCAGCCCCAGGGGAGACCTTTTTTGGGTGGGGTGAGGTGGGGGGTGTCCAACCCAGGACGTTCCCTGCAGAAAGCAAACTCTCTCTCTCTCCTGCCGCACCCCTCTTTCCTGGTGCCTCCGGGCACGTGCAATGGGCCTGAGAAAAGTGACGTGGACAGAGGACCGAACATACATGGCCAAGGCGTGTGTGTGTGTGTGTGTGTGCGTGTGTGTGCGTGTGTGTCCGTGTGTGTGTGTGTCCGTGTCGTGTCAGGACCGCTCTCGTCCCCTGGAAGGAGGGGAAGAATAAAAGCCCCTCGTGGCCAATTCTCGCGCTCACACATCGCCACTTGCCCTTGTGCTGCCATGTGGAGGCTTCTCCTTGCCACGCTTCTGCTCGCCACCCAGGGTAAACCTGAAAATCCCGGGAGGAAAGGGCCCGTTTTGCACCTGGGACCCTAAGGCTTACCCCGTTACTTGACCCGACCCCACAGCAGTTTCTGTGGTGTTCTTTTCTGGGTAACCCCCCCCCCCTTTTCTCTCTGGATTAGGTCCAGAGCTAGTAAAGAACCCATTCAGAAGAACTCTGAATTTCCCTGGCCCGTCTGTGGCCACCGGCACCACGACCACGGATGTGACCGGCTGTCTTACTTTCTCTCCTCTCCACAGCGCATGGTTGCGGAGTCCCCGCGTACTCCCCACTGAAGAGAGTGGTGAATGGGGTGGATGCTGTTCCTTACAGCTGGCCTTGGCAGGTGAGTGCGGCCAAGGGGAAGGCCTGGCAGGAGCCGAAGGGGCTGACGACCATCCAGGCTGTTTCGTTCTCATTGCAGGGGCCTTTCTGAATTTTCCTGCCTGCGTCACCAACCCATTAGCGCTTGTATTTTGCAGCCTCTTGGCTGATGAAGATCTGTAGACATCTCAAAAGCTTGTGCTTGGAAAGAAGAGGCTGGAGCAGGAAAGGGGCAGAAAATGGAAACCCAAATAGCCAGGGGGGTTAAGGAGGAGAGACTTCAAAACCCTTGTCCAGACTGGCCAAGAGCACTTCGGCACAGTCTCTGCTACTAGGCTGAAGCGTTTATGGCACCCATCAAAAGGGCACAAAAATGCATGCAAGCTTTCCAGATTCCCAGGCCTTTTCATCAAGCAAGATGCTGAGATGGAGAGAGAGAGACAACAGCCTAGGTGGGTCAGTAGATGGGGGAAGAGAAAAGACAGAAACTCCAGCTTTGATCATCATCATCATCATCAACAACAATATTTTGTTTGGGGGAGAAAACGATAACTTGTGAAGAAGGGGAGCAAACGCAGCACAAGTTTCTAGCATGACGTGCAACGTGGGGGGGAAATGACAGGGAAGGATTTGTAACGTGGATTCACCCAGGAAGCAGACAGAGGGTGGAATCCGGGCATAAAAAGGGAAACCCTTCTTCATGGCATGAATGACTGAAATATGGAATTGGCACACTCGCTAAGATCACCCGAAGGAGCAAGGGGCAAAGCTCGGGCATTTTACTTCCGAGGCGCCAAAAACTCTGGCTGGGCCAGTCCGGGAGTTCTCTCTCCCATTTCTGGCACAGACCCAGTTTGGCCTTTCTTCTCGGTCCAGCCTTGGGGGGTTTGGGCGCCGTGTGAGGAGGAAGGGGGCCCACGCCTGCCTCGGGGTGGCCAAGAGCAGGGTCTCTGTTCCCGTTGCCTTCCTTCCTTCCTTCCTTCCACAGATCTCCCTCCAGTATGAGAGCAACGGGGAGTTTCGGCACACCTGCGGGGGGTCCCTGATCGCTCCCAAGTGGGTCATGACCGCCGGACACTGCATCTCGTAAGTCCGGCCTCTCTCTCTCTC